TTTGCTTCCTAATAATATTGTCTTTTTTCAACATTGTTTCCACAATAATAGAATAGCTGTAGGAAATGAGGCATAAAAATAGGTCAGAGAATCTAAATTTGTAAAATTTCTAGAAAACATTTTAGAAGTATGAAAGATTTTTTCTTTTTCTTAATTTTCTTTTTCCAGATTCTAGATTAGATGATCCGGTGATAGAACTTCCACCTTTGAAAGTGAAGGATCTTCCGACAATAGTAACAAAAGACCCAGAGGAACTATACAGAATAGTTAAAGACATGATGGAAGGAGCCAAGTCTTCTTCTGGAGTCATATGGAACACATTCGAAGATCTTGAAAGACTCGAACTCATGAATTTGAGTCGCAACTTCCAAGTTCCGTTCTTCTCAATCGGACCACTTCACAAACATAGTGAAGATCTTCTATCAACCAAAACTAACAAAGAAGACTATGCAGTAACCAGTTGGCTCGACAAGCAAGACGCAAAGTCAGTGGTCTATGTGAGTTTTGGTAGCGTTGCAGCTATGAAAGAGAAGGAGTTTCTCGAGATTGCTTGGGGTCTAAGAAACAGCAAACAGCCGTTTTTGTGGGTGGTTAGGCATGGGTTGGTCCCAGGGGTCGACTTGCTCGAGTCATTGCCTTGTGGGTTTATGGAAAGCATTGGAAATAAGGGAAAAATTGTTAAATGGGCTAATCAATTAGAGGTATTGGCACATCCCGCGGTTGGAATGTTTTGGACTCATTGTGGATGGAATTCGACGCTAGAGAGCATCTGTGATGGTGTTCCAACGATATGTACACCATTTCAAACGGACCAGCGTGTGAACGCCAGGTACATTGTCGAGGTATGGCGAGTCGGGATAATGTTGGAACGAAGTAAGATGGATAAGAGAGAGATTGAGCAGGTAGTAAGCAGTGCAATGATAGATAAGGGAGATGGATGGAGAGAGAGGTGCATGGCTTTGAAAGAGAGGGCTGATATTTGCTTAGGCAAAGATGGATCTTCGTCCAACAATTTAGACAAACTTGTGACTCATGTCTTGTCTTTTGATTCATATGCTTTTGCAAGTTAGAAAAATCACGGAGCAATGTTTTTAAATTTTAAGCACTCATCACAGTTTTCGATTTTCTGTTTTTTCTTTTTTAATGAAGTAATAATAATGATTGATTGAGTTTTATATCATTGTTTATCCTTGTGAAAATGAATATTACATCTAGCGATGGCGAAAATAATCAAACCAATTGAACATGGCCTAACTCAATGAAACCGAATTTGAGATTTCAAAGTTTGAATCCAACCTTAAGCTATTTTAAGGGTGTCCACGTGGAATTTTAATCAACTAATAGTTTTTTTAATAGCACATTCTTTAGTAAAAAGAAAAGATTTTGTTCTTTTACCAACTTTTGAGCATTGTTTTAGTAAACCTCTTTTTCACAAAATTATTTTACTAAATATAAAAAAATTTAGTGTTGTTTGAATAATTATTTAAAAAATTAACAGAGAAGAGAACTTCTTTTTTTAGAATCCATTCCTTTTTCTTCCTTTCTTCTACGAAGCTTTCTCTCATTGTTGTCTGAGAATTCTTTTCTTCAACTTCACATTCTCTGCAAGTGGGATTGGTATTCGAACAAATAAATGTGCAATCTGTTATTTTAGTCAGGACAGTGAAGGAGAATGAAGGGAGAAAGTAACGAAGATAACAATATGGATCCCATAGCAATAAGACGTGCTAGTATCAAGGAAAGAGGAATGAATAACATATTAGCAGTACGGAGTAAGATAAATCTAACTCATGATACAAGCATAAGATCGATACTCATGATGCAAGTGAATGGCGTTAATCGGATGAAAGTGTTCACGAGAGAGACTCAAGGCGACAGTGATTAGAGTGTGTGAGAAATGTGATTTGAAAGCCATGTGAAACAAGAGGGCAAGAATGGAGAAGATTAAAATCAATAAAAAACTCTGACATGAGGTTAATTTCAGGGTAGTCTCACTGATAACTTTTTGCATACTGTACCATGACAGATACAAAGATTATGTATCCTGTTGCAGCCTATATGTCTTAACTCTTAACAAGTCTCTTTACCATGATCAATTTTTTTTATTTTTATTTTTTGGTCACGGACCCTTGATCATACATATAAAAGGTCATTTAATGTAGGATAATCAAGTTGAATAACAAAAAAGAATCATTATTCTCTTTTGCTTCGTTTGTTCAACTAACAAGGGAAACCATGTTGTTCGAATTGAATTTCGGCTTAACCGTATATATTACAATCTTGGTATTTGTTAAACACATATTTGTAATGATGGTTTTATTTGTAGCAACGGAGAACACTCACAATTAAACAAACACAAAGAGTTCAAACAGATAAAAGTAGACATCTAAAACTAACGCACATGAAAAATGCTCCACCATAATAAAAATGATTTATTCAATCATATAGCAACTTAATTTTTGATAGCCTTATTTCACTTCAATTGTTGTGTATTTGTGTTGAAGACTTCTCAGGAGAGTAGGGAACTGGTGGTTCAGTTGCCGAAGCTATAATTGTTCATTTCGAAAGGGTTTCTTCCAAATCTTCAGGGATTTCCGGTTTGAAATCAAGGGACTCGTCGTTATAAATATCCCACCATTTGTTAATCAACATTTTGACGTCTTCTCTGTCCATATTAGGTTCTTCTCCTGTGTACCTCCATGGCTTGGATCCCTATCATTATAATATATTAGTAAAGATAACACTAAAACTCTGAAAACCAAGCTAGCAAATTTAAACTAATGTTCTTAAAAAAACATTAGATGCTAATCGCCGACTAATGTTACGATTATTTTAGAAGAATTAATTCGAATCCCTAACGAACTTTTTTCCGACCGATTTAGTCAAAGTCAGATCATTTTGGGAAATGGACAAGTATTTTTATAGGAAGAGAAAGTGCTTACAGCTGGACAATAGTGAACAACTTTGACACTCTCAAGGTCAACGTTCCCCGGATGGCGCCAAAGCACAGACAGAATCAAGTTGTAAACCGGAGGAACCGGTTTAAAAACTTTCTCAAAGAACATATTAAGAAAATCCTATCAAAGTACATCAAAAATGTTATATATAACATTATATTGAAATTGAAGCCTTGTATTTATCATACATATATGTCTGAGGGACTCACTTGCTCCGAGAATGGTGTTTACCGTGCATCATTGCTTTACCTTGCATATAGTTATATGATCTTAGGTTGCCAAAAAGCTTGTTATATTGTTTGAACTTATTTGATGAGCTAAACGTCTTAACATAAGATAGTTGACCTAACGAGTTTATCAGAGCGTAAACAAATTACGGCATGCTTTTTTTTTTTGGTAATAACATGTGATAGTTGAACAAATGCCTCAATAGTAGATTATTAATTGGACATCCAGACAAATAACTCGAATTCGGTGTGTTATTGTAACTACTATATAGCTTATAAATTTACTTTGTTCATAGTTTAAGGGGATGGTGTAACAACATGATTAAAACGATAAGAAAGGATAAGCTGTGGAGAAAATTCCACATTAACGCTATTATTAAACTCAACAGTTGTCGTGAATCGGTCGTATAAAAGATGCCATTCTCATATGGCCACCAGCTATCCCAAGTAATTAAAAATTAGTCTTACTTCGTTTTTAAATCCAGTAATGGTCGAATCGGGTCATAACGCTTTTAAATCCTGTTATTTTTTTTATTTTTTTCATATTTAGAAGCCCAATATATTCGTTCGAGTTTATTGTATCAGCGTATTCATGTATTTTTTTATATCACATTCGTTCGAATTATTTGTCTGGAGATGTCTATTTAATCTACACTGTAAAAGATTCTTATCTCATAGATTATGCATGTAGATATAATGAGAGATGTGATTTGAAAGCCATGTGAAACAACTGAGCAAAGATTGGAGAAGACTACAAATCAACAAAACACTGTGTCATGAGGTTAATTTCAGTGATAATTCTGCTTTCAATATGTATTCGATTTAATGGTTTTATCCTTTCGACAGATATACGCAGGAAGAAAATGAGAATGACTTTGATTCAAGATATGAAGAAGATACTAGGCGATTAGTGTTTGCTTCATCATTGCACATTCAGTAAAATTTCAAGACATGTCGTTTCTTAAATGTCTTACTATCTTCCTTCAGAAGGAAACCAAGATAAGATTCGCTTGAACTAAGACACCACCATATTCTGCAAAAAAAAACAAAAAAAAGCAATATTGTAAGCATGAAGAAAGCTTAGGATAATATATAAGAAAACGACAAGTCCGGTGTACATATATTATGGTTTCTGATCATCACCAGTCTCTTCACTAATCTAATTCTATTCAAACTATGCTTCTCAAAATTCCAAATAAAAAGCAGGAACTATATATCATGTAATTTCTTGACTATACGGTTTGCAAAGCATCACTGATAAGCCTTAACTAGAGAATGAGAAAAAGCTTTAGTATCATGTATTTTATAAGCCATATAACATACAACTACAAAAAGCTTTTGTAAAAGTTGTGTAGAAATGAGAAAAATAGTTTGTAAGGGTCAACATACTTCATCTCCTTGAAGAAGTAAGCTCAAGATTTCCAAATTTTCTGCATGGCAATTCTGGCATCTGCATCTCTTTTGCAACTCCTCCCCGAGTGAAGCCAATATCTGTTCCAACTCAGAAGTCTGCTTGTTGTCCATTAAGGAAACTATTATTTCGAAAGAATGGCAAATGGAAATAAAAGAACAGGCACTGGCTTGCTCGTAGATTCTACCAAAAAAAATTGGCAGCTGCAAAGTACAGGTTGTCTCAAGAAGCACAGAACTAGTTGGTGTAAATGTGAGAAAAAAGATTGCTACGACCTCAAGTCTAAAGCTTATAAACCATGGTAATGAAGATAAGGATATCTAGCGAGAGCTTGCACTGAATTAGTTCTGTCTGTTATGGCCTCCATGAGTGACATTTTCTTCTCATATTCATCAAGCTCTTTCTGCAGCTACAGATAGGAAAACCGACTTATCAATCCCAATTTGTTATCCACACAGAATGTGTAAAACAGGTAAATAAATAAGCTAGGAAACGGTATTTGAAGCAGCGACGGAACTTTAACTGACACAAAGCTTAAACGCAGCTCCATTACCTGTGTTTGTATGTTCTGCTCTGCCGGGTATCCTTCTTCTTCTATTGCTATTTGAGAATTTACATCAGATAGCATATCCTTGATAGCTTCTGAATCAGCTCCATAACCACCCTCAAAAACTTTGACATCTGTAATTACGAAACATATCCTCAAGCCATGATCTCTTAATAGACAACAAGAATAAACTGTAAGCATTGCCTACTCACTCTTTGTTATGCCAGTACTATCACCATTGCCGCCCACATTGGAAGTTACTTTCTGGAATTCCCTATTATCAACCAAGCAACTTAGATTGTGTTGCAGCAGCAACTTAGAGGAAAAGGCATTGAATAGAAAATAACCTTATTTCCTTGTTCAGCTCTTCCATTTGGCTTATAAACTGATCTCTGTATCACAAAAACGAACAAGCAATAAGCAAACAAAATCTAAGTAGAACTAATTCAGATGTTAGAAAAAAAGAAATAACCTGAGTAATCCTTCCTTGTTCTTTGTTCCACCAAACATCAAAGCAATCCAGGAAGAATCCAGAATTTCACAAAGAGAAAACAATCATCAACCATAACCACTAGTACTTCAATAAACAGTATCTAAGCAAATTTGCATACCTTAAGAGCTTCCACTTCATTTCCAACAGTAGAAATTTCATCATGAAGAAGAGCAATCCTTGCCTGGAAAAATGAATTCCAAGCAAAACCTTGTAAATAAACCTCACGATAAGAAATATTCAGAACAAATACTCCTAATCATCCCACAAATTATGTGAATCAAGTAAAAATTGGAAACCTCGAGAGATTGAATCGTAGCATCGTTCAAAGACAATTCAACTTCGTAGCCATTGAGTTCCTCCTCTGCAACTTCTTTGATACGCTTTGCATCCTCAAGTTCTGCATTCGCTGATTCAACTTCCGATTGTAGAATCTCGATCCGCTTCTTCAATCCAACAACTCTTTGCTCTGGACGAGAAAATCCACAACAATCAGAACCATATTTCTCTAAATAACAGAACTATGAAGATCGATTCGCATACAATCAACGCCTTAACCCTAAATCGCACGAAAACTCCATATAAAACGCATATCAATTTTTTCCAAATTTCTGCGATTCGGACTCTTCACCATCGTCTTCTTCGCGAAATCTGCAGAACAAACAAACAAAAAAATCTGGAAAAGTTATGAAGATTTGACCTCCACGAGATCTTTCAGAAGTGAAGTCGCGGATCAGAGAGAGAAGATGCTTCTGCGTATCGATTCCCGCCATGGATTCTTCGTCCGTGTTTCGGAGCTCGACTGATAAAATATCGCACTTCCCCCCTTCGCTTTTGAAACGTTTTGCGTCTTTGAGAGAGATGCAAAATTAGTAGCAATATAGGCCCATATATTTGGAGCCCAATTTCATGAGCCCAATTATTATCGTTTTACTGCTGGTCTCAAACGGTTTGAGTTAAAGTTAATACAATCCACTATACACTTAGAAATTATAATCGTAGCTCACTTAATAGTTTATACTTAATACCAGAGCTTACACTCGATTAAGTTTTTTTTTTGTTCTGAGTAAATTATCTGAAAGTTAAGTCTAATTTTTATTGATAATTATAATATTTTTTTAACTTTTTGATCAAATAAAAATATTTGTCATATTTTAAATCTCTGATCAAGTACGCATATAATATTTTTATTTGTTTTATCAAGTTAGATAATTTATAATATTTTCTTACTTTAGATCAAGATAAAACAATACTAACATTTTTCCTTTTTAACAAGTTAAATTATCGATTATATCTTCTTTTTTTTTTATCAAATTTTGATATTTGTTTTATCCGGTCTAATTATAAACCAACACATGATATATTGCACATCTTATTTCTTTTTAACAAGTTGATAAATTTAAGAGTATATGCATCAAAAAGCAGAGTATAGTGCTCAAAAAAATTGCATCAATAAACCAAGAATTATAGTATATTTGCAATCTAACGAAAAATACTTTGCTTTTTCTCTATTTCCAATCTCTAATGTTTTAGTTAGTTTCGTAAATCGAGTCTAATTCTTGGTTATCTAGCTAATTTTACTCTAAATTTAAAAGGGTTTAAAAATCTAAAATGGAGATTTGTATAGTGTTTACATAAATAATGTGATGTATAGATAGTCGAGCTCTCTGTACTAACATGTTCACTTGTGTATCTAATGTCAGTAAAAAGAAACAAGACAGAAAGGTAAAAAAGAGTTTGCTTTATCAAAAAAACAGGTTACTCTATCGGCTAAACACCATTTTGAGATGCACATCTCAAATTTTCTTATAATGTTTTGCATGTTTTCTTATAAAATACAACTTATACGTGATTAAGAACATTGCTAATACAAATCATAAAATTATAAACAATTAGTATTTTCTCCATTTATTTTAGAGAATTTTTGAAAAATATCATTTCTTAAATAGTATTTTTCAAAGGGAAATTATATGAAATATACTCCACAATTTCACTATTTAAACATGTATCATCTTCACAAATTTATTAAGTAGATAGCCTACCAAAAGACTATAATACCCCTTTAGTTATCTCTGATGTTTTCTGACACAACCTGTTTTCTGACACGACAGGTTGTGTCATAGGGTGCCATAACACATCTAATTAAAATAGAGAGAGAATGACACAATTATCAATATATATTGTTTTATACGGTTCATTCGTACATAATTTTTTCAGATTCAACATACTATATTCTCATACATACTATATATTCTTCGATTCAAACATACTATATATACGCATATACATATTCTCAGACACAATATAACGTGCCATAAGTTAAAAAAAACATACCATTATATATTACTCAAAATGTCAATGACCAAATTTATGATATAATTTTAAGTTTCCTTTTTGATGGATATGGTATGTTATCCAATATCATTTTTCCAATATCATGTTATATCGAAATTTTTCCAATATTATGTTGTATGGTATATGGCATATAACATGTTATATTTATACTACATAAACATATAACATGTAATATCATCTCCATCATATTATACAATCTTTAAAACACATTACTATGTTTATTGGTAGGTCG